GTAAGCTAAGTAGCTGCACTGCCATAGATGCCTTTTTGGTTTATAAAAATGTTGCACAACTTTTATTCCGTACGTGAAAATAAATGCTTAGTTTAAAATGTCCAACGAGCGGTTTTTCATAAAATAACGAAAGTACGTCTTGGTTTTGGGCAAAATCAATGCGTCATAAACTTAATAATACAGAGACGTATTCAGGTTTTGAACTACTTGAGGACGTCTAGGTTCTATTTTTTTTTTTTTTGTTTCTGATTTTCTTTAATTTATGGGTTACCTTGGCGACAAGGAGAAAACATGAACATTACTACCTCGCTCAGAGTAGTTTTTCATTTGGAACGGTTTGTATCCACAACAACAAATTAAAATCAGTTTTTATATTATACACAGTTTCATGTCGGTACGATTAAATTTCCGTGTTATTTCGATATGATAATATACTTGAGAAATGAACTTTGTCCAACATACCAAACCGTTTGTTTTGTACCAGTAAACAAATTAGTAATTTGATTTTGGGTAGATATGCTAATTTGAAACCTCATATGTGGTACGTCAAACTTTCCGAAAATTCAAAACTTAAAAGTCAAATATGTATCCCAAAAATAGCTAATAGCATAGGTACTGTAGCAACTGGTGGGTGCAATACTGTTGTAGGTGGGAAGTTGATAACGTAGGAAACATAAAGTTAATTTATATCTGTAAGCAACGATAAACTATTGTTAATGAAAAACCATTCTAAGCAAAGTTCGGTTGTACATGTTTTAAAAGGCCATAATAACATACGTCAAAATTTGATTTTAAAATGTCTATAAAAAAAATATAAATATATACGTAATACATTACATTCAATTGCGAAGTAAATACTAATTACGACTTATAATGGAACTCCTGTTAAATTTTCAAGCATTTTTGTTTAGTCAAAGAATTTTGCCCATAGCCAGAGTACCGACTATCAAATAAACATTGCGTAAAACACTCGGAAAATATTAGAATGCACCGACTATAGATCCGAAATGACGAAAACACTAGGTACGCTCGGAATATGAAATCGAAAAAAAAAAAAATCACAAACAATCATTTGAAAGTCGATATCGAATAGACGAGCTGCCCGGAAACATCTCGCGTTGAGTCCAAATATTTAATATACTTATACATGTCTCGGACACGTTTTTACGTTTGCCTGTACCGCAATTTTTCGCTTCTCTCGGAAAATGTGTTTCTGCGAGGTTTCGCCGGATAGCCGACGGTATGCCCAACACACCTACACCCACGGCTCGGCCGGTAACGTTTAGATTCGGCGCGCGACCGCGACTCCCGTCAACCGCGCGTCGTCGTCCGCGGAAGAACACACAAACGCCCACGGCAATGTACGGTTTATTTGTAGTGCGCGCATAGTGATATCGCGGTAACGTAAACGGCCGGTCCGTTTGTCCGTTTCCACGAGCCGAAACGTTGGCCACTTTGATGTGCGCTACTTCGATACATAATCGCGTGCATACGAAGCGACTGTTTGCCCGCCCCGGCGCACACGCGCGTCTCGCGTGAACATACGCAATACACGGCCTTTGCCGGCGGGGGCGGTTACGCTCGCGTCTCTCCAGCCGCCCGCGCGCAGCGCGGGGATACGGTACGGTGCGTTTTAGACTGTTGACTCCGCAACGCGAATTACACCGTAATGGATCGAAAGTTTTCGCCGGGTGTAGTAGTCGCGCGTTTCGCGAAACACATTCGGTCCGTGCGTTCTGCTGCGCGCGTGCGATCTGTTGACTTTCGAATTTCCGAGGCATTAATAATAATTATCAATCCGCGCGCGCGCATATTCTCGCGACTCTCGGCGCGTTCGCCTTCGATTTACTTACGATACAACAATATGTACCCGACCGCGAAGTCATAGTTATTTAATTATTGTTTTTAAATTTTTCTTCTTCTTTTTTTTTTTTTTGCTCATTCGCCGACTGCCCGGATAATTTAATGGTATGGGGCCGCACAACGTTCCGGAAAATAATTGGCCGGAACGTTTGGACGTCCAGAAAGCTACGCGGAAAATACATTTCCCCAAAAATTAAATGGCCCAGAAAGTAATAATATTCCCGAAAAATAAAAGAAAAAAAAGAGTTTGTTTACCAGAGAGTAGACGGTGTCGGAAAGTAGAAGATGGACCTAATGACAGAAAGTAAAAATCCAGAAGAAAATAAATTCCTAGAATATAAATATTTCAGAAAATATTTAAACAGAAAGTAAAATGGCAAGAAAAGAAAACGACCAAAATGTATAATCACAGAGAGTAGAAATGCAGACGTATTTTTTCAGAAAGTGTAGATCTGGTATTTCGTTACTAGATCGCAGCACGTGACAAATAATTCTCCTATACTTCGTTACCACAAAATAAAATGAAAAATTTGTAGTTCAGCCGTGCACTTGATTCGGATTTTTTTAAAAATGTCACAAAATATACTCCTTGTGTTCGCTTCAAACAAAATACGAATACCCAGGTGTCCAGGATACTAAACCGATTTTGCTATAATCTAAGATATGATCTAATAGGCGGGTTGGTAATACCTATGTGTACATAAATATACATTTATATGTGTAATCGCATTGCCCTGTGATGTAAAGTAATTTTTTTACCATGTTATAATAAACAGTTATATACCATTATATATAGGTAACTAAGAAATACATAAAGTACGTCATATTCAATTATATATTATATTACTTATTATTTAATTTTTGTTTCAAATAAAATTCTATGTAATGAATTTGCAATTCAGTAAAATGTATTAATAGCATTAATATTCAGTTTGCATATTATTATTTATTTCGTTTGCATTGAAAGCAGTAAGTTTAGTTAACAACTTAATCTTCAGTAAACCATACTAATTAATATTAGGTATGTGAACTATTTTTAAAATTAATCATAGCAAATATTTGTTTAGATGAGATATCTATAAACAAAGAACGTCAAAAAAAAAAAAAAAAATACTATGTTTAGGTAGATTTCCCGTATCTACTATTTTGGTTCATTCGCCTATACAAATTATAACTGTAATTCTAGTATTTTCGAGTATAATTTTAAATAACTAAATAAAATTAGTAATTTTGGCAATAAATAGAGCTGACCTATATTATGCAGCTTTAAATTAATTATAGTGAGATCAACTTGGAAACCAACTAATTTGACATTTCTGTATTTTCAGTGTACAGGCATGATAGTACATTAGCGGGGGGGTGGTGGTGGCAAGAAGTATTTACGGTGTACAGTGTACACCACTGGCTTTTCCGTGCCTACATATGGTATTTTAATAGTTTTAAAAAAAGGTCAAAATCATTAAAAAAAATAAAAAATCTAAAATAAAACATTGTTCTCTTCCCTATTATTTTTGAAAATAAACGCCCTTGTATACAGGTGCACGATATACGGGTATAGTTTACGGATAATTTATTTTGTTCGTTTTACATTTTTATTGATTTTGTTTATTTCTATTAAATTATTATGAATAATAGATTCCTTGTAGTTTTCTGAAATTATTATCATCTGTCACATATTGACATATTTCAGTTTTAAGTTAGCAATTTAATTAAAAGAAAAAAAAAAAAAAACAAATTATTTTACCGCGGTCGAGTATAGGCAATTTCGATAAACGTTTTTGTGAAAATTAAAACTTAATAAATCAAAAATATTCAAATTCACTTTTAAAAAATAATACACACTGTGACTATACTTATTATATAGATTTGTATAGTATTGTACTGTACTGGTACTACATTATAATATTACAACTTGGTTTTAAAGGGTTTTCAATTCTTTTACATTTACTCACTTTTGCCATTTATACATCGGGAAAGGATTCGTAATGGTTCGATCCCATGCCTTCGGGATTATATTTATGTCGCCGTCTATCGATCTATTAAGTTAAAATATTTATATTTTTTGTAGATTTTTTCCTAATCATTTGAAAGCAAGTGAGCAGTTAGCCAAAGAATTCAAATTTGTAATTGATAATTTTTAGTTTATTGTTATATTTGAATCACGTTTCATTAAAAAATTGTAGTTAACTATTTTTAAAAAAAACATTGTCACTTTTTAATTTTGTTTTTGAGTATTAACCCTGTATTTATTTCGTCGATTTTCACTACTGTCGAAAAAAAAGGTACTATCGAGTTTAAATCATCCGAATTATCAAATTTGATAATTAATACAATATTAATAAATTATTATTGTATTTATGTCGAGTAGTTCTTGTGAATCAGTTATGTTTTTCTTTTTTTTTTTAACAAACAATTTTATTAGTTTTTACAAAACAGTATTGTATAGAAACACTCGAATTTTTTTATAATTAATACCGCGATATTCAGTGGCATACGCAGCGGGAGGGCTAAGGGGCTGAAGTCCCACTCCATTGACCGTATTTATATATGTTATATATATATCAGTTACTTGGTGTATAAAGGGCCAATGTCTTTTCTTTTTTTCTTTTTAGAAAATCGGTTAGAAATAAAAAAAAGAAATTGTACAGTTATTTATTTTCTAAATAAATTTTTTTTAAGTTTTTGTAAAATTGAAAATCACGCAAACATCTACATTTAATAAAATACACAAAACCTTATGGGGAAATTAAATTTCAAAGCCCATTTCCCAGCAATTACAAAATGTGACATTGAAACTTCTTGCACAAAGTCATAGATATATATATATACATACAATATAAACAATACATAAATATTTTTTTTTTATTTTTTCAAGTTTCAACTGCGATAATAATTATTAAATAAGGGCTTTTTTTTTTCATAATATACACTTTTTTGCGCAAGTAAATAATCTAATTTACCACCGTCTTTTAATAATCTTACTATATATTACTACTATATTATCACAGAATAAGATATTACTATCGGGCTTATAAGATTATTATTTTTGCCCAACAGCGGTGACACTCGTTATAAGCATTGGTTTTGCTATTGTAACAACTTTGGCGATTGGCGTTATCGTGCAAACGCGAGCTGCCACACACATCCTTAGATAATATGTATGATGACAATATTGAACTTACTGAACTGATGTTACCAACAATTAACGCATCGTTAAGTTAGCTCGCGGATGTTTGTAGATAACAATATTATAATACCTTTAATTAGCGAAAAGCAATTATGTAGATAATTTTGTTTTCATTTATTTCTCTCGAGTGTCAAAGTAATAATATTTTGTATACTTCCCGTCATTGTTCTCGTATAAAACGTACCTCATAGTTTTGTACATAAAAATAACTATTTAATTGTCAATTTCGGCAAAAAAAAAAATTGAATTTTTCGATTTTTAGTTTGAAGAGTAAAAACGATAAGTATACAATGAGTATCTCCATAATTCATAAAATTCTGATTTTGGTTGATCTGTGGCATTTTTAATACTCTACTAGCTTAAAAATTGTATTTTACTTCCCATTTTTTTTATAGTTACCTAAATATTAAAGTTTTATTTTTTTATTTTTTTGTGTACCAATATTTTATGTTTATTATCAGTCAGAATTAAGAATGCACCAACTTTATTTTTCAAACTTTTGACAAAAGAAATGATTAACTATCAATTTTCAAGCCCCCTCCCTCATTGAAAAATCCTGCGTACGCCACTGGCGATATTATATTAAAACTACAATAGCCGCAGATTTATAGATTCGGTTTAACGGCCGCGTGCTACTATCGTAACTAAATATCATTGGCATATTTTTAGTTTATCATAATCTAATGAAAACGTTATGGACATCGTAAACATGACGTAGGTATAACTACCGCACATTATACCCACTGCAGGAACCGCGATTTGAATTAAGCGGTGTATAGGTACTATACAGTTTTTTTTATTTCCGAGTCACTTCCGATTATATTGAATCGTATGATAATATTATTATTATATGACAACGATCGCAATCGAATTAATGTGTATAGGTAATATTATGTATCATGGTCACGCATAATACGGTAAAACTATTTTCTTTTTTTACGATAGTTTTTAATGTACCTACCTAATACCTATACATATATATATATATACAGTATACACACACACACACGCCTATTGCAGTAACTACTGCACGAGGTCTGTTCGGGAAATCGATCCGAAATGCAATATAATAGACGAAATAGCGCGCCATACGGTGTATAAAGTTACATAACATTATACGGACATTGTAGGTCTCGTTCAAAAAAAGAACTACCCTCCCGTGTTATTATGTGAGTATTGTTTAGTATCTATTCGTTTTTAACAAGCATCATCTCCTCCCCCGATTTTTTTGGCCGACACGAAAATATTATACACACACACACACACACACACACGCCCGCGCGCGACGAAAATTATAATCAGCCTTATGGTATAGCGTGCGCACACTGTATTATATTATATACGTACTGGGTGTGCCCTTATGCGCCGGGAAATTTTGAAGTAACTCTTAACAAAAGTGAAAAATAAAAAAAAATGTATTTTTATTTTTGAAAAAAAAGGTATAAGTTGCACGCCAGTATATTACACAGTGGACGCAGAGCGGTTAAAATCGCTCTCTTCTGTGGTATACATCGTGTGACTTCTATTATGAACTAGGTATGCAGTGTTTATTTATTTCAAATGCAGAATTAACAAAAAAATATGACGAATAAAGCGATACGAACCGAAGAATAAATCGAAGTAGCGTGTAAGCTCCCGGTTTTCACCATTGGCTTAACTAATATTGATTAAATCCAAAATTCTCAACCGTGCGAGATCAAATTAGAGACCATACGGATGGACAGACACAAACAAAACCATAAAGTATACGCTAGGTAGATAAATAATTATTAAAACTAACGGTATTAACTATTATTTTTTTAATATTCTCCCTCTCCTCGTGAACTTTTTTCCTACATCCATCCCTGTCACACATCAAAAAGAATCGAAAAGAAACTTCACTTTCTAAAATTAATGCCCATATAATAAAATAGCGACCACAATACATACGTACTTATCTTACGCACTCCTGGAATCAAGTTTTTTCTCTCACGGTCAGCATTCATTGGCCCCTTGCGGATTTCCATAAGAACACCAAACGACAATCGTCAATGGTGTAGCTACACATTAAAGCGTTCTGAAACCAAATATATTTTCATCACTATAATGGAAAATAAAAAGACGGACATACTTCGCACAACGGGTAACTAAGTTAAATTTATAACTGTATGCAACGATAAACCATTACCTTAACAGGTTTGGAGCTAAGTTCGGTTAAATACATGTTTTAAAAAGCCTTAATATTTACGTCAAAATTTGATAATAAAATTTTTATAAAAAAAACTACATTAAACACAACTTTTTTTTTTTATGAACCCTAAGTACAACTTATAATGAACCTTCTGTTAAATTTATACGCGTTTCTGTTATATATATCTAACAATTTCATTCACAGAGTACCGAATCAAAGTTACGTAAAAAACTCGTAAAATTAAAATGTCTAAGTAGTTCGAAAATGGCTTAAATATTTTAAAAATTTTACCACGTCTAGAAAATGAAAATATGAGTTTCAAGTCTCTATGATTTTTTTTTAAACTGAATTATAAGAAACAAACAAAATTGAAAATAATACAATTATTATTTTCCTAAACTTTCCTGTATTCCCACGATTTTTCCTGGTTTTATTATTATTCATATTTGTTGTGAACATCTCTGGATAAATCAAAAAATTACTTCTCTAAAATACCACTCCAACCCGATTTTCATTCAGAAAAAGTGCTATACTTGATACATCTGAGTAAGATTTCTGGTAGAAAGTTTGTTCATAGGATAAAGAAGACCTATATACTTCGCACGTGGACGTCCCACTGTTGTTGGTGAGAAGTTGGAAAGGCATAAAAGGAGAAATTTAATGTCTATCTGTATACAACAATTAACCATTGCTAACGAAAAAATGATTCTGACCGGAGTTCGGTTAATAGTGTTGCTTTGTCAACAATATAATATATGTCGTATTATGATAAAATAATTATAAATTAATTATACATTTTTTTTTTAAATATTTGTTTAATATTGTACCCATTTTCTTGTTTTCCCTATGTTTTTTCCCGGTTTTTCCCGTTTTATAAGAAAACAGCTAGGAAAATAAAAAAATTACCTCCCTAAAGTACCATCCCAGTCAGATTTCCTCTCAAAAAAAGTGCTATCATTGTAAATCGGCGAAAAGTTGCTATATTTGTACTTTTTATTAACATCTAAATTCTAGCAAATTTTTATGAAAATATGAAATAATTTGTACAGTGGTTGTTTAGTATGGTATTAGTATCTTTATCAGTTTATAACAACAGGTGACACAGAATTTTAGTCAATCAAACTGGTATGGACAGCTATTAAGCCTGATTCACGAGCACGCCGTAACACGTGTAAGCTCCTAAAAAAAATTGTACATCCCGAGGCGACTGCTGTGGTTATCCCTGAGATATCTGCGTCGCTGTAATCATTTTTATGTGTTACACTGTTACATGTCATGGTATTTGTCCCATAATAAAATTACATCATAACGAAAATTACAATTTTTATTTACTAAATATAAATAAAATTATAATTTAAAGGTACATGTATACATTTTTTTAAAACTTTCTGGTGGTGCAACAAGATAAGTTTGCACTACCACATTTTAGATGTTGAGGTGCAAATGTTTTATTTGCACAAGTCAATTTACGCCGCTGACGTGCACCGTAATCAGTTTAATTTTACAAATCAATATTGGAATTAAATTTCTTTCGTCTACACGTCGTATTACCGGACTCTCAAACGAATATACTATTATACAAACCGTACAATAACAACACTGCGTATATATTATAAGAATTAAGAATGATTTGTCGAGTGCGACGTAATTCTGACTAGATTATTTTCCAATTGAATGATACATAATTCGTTTAGGGGACGTACTGCTGCTGTGCACTGCAACACTGCAGCAGCGATCGTGTTCATCGACGAGTGTTTGGAAACGGGACGAAGTACTATGTACTCGTTTATATTATCATATTAGGGGAAAACACGCATGGGATAAGATAGTGCAGATGTAAATAGCAATAATTTTGAAATAATAAAAAAAAATTTGCATCTGCTATCGTCGCTCCATACCGCACACACACTGCACACACACACACGCACGCACACATATTATTACGATTTTTCCCGAACCCTTATATTATACTCAGTTCAATAGCGTCTAATACGGCATATTGTCCGAAAAATAAAGGGTTACAGCACCCGCGCGTCAAACCTCAATTTGTTTCATATTTACTATATTATAAAACTCGAATAACGAGGGTAACGAACGCGGTAACGACGAGATTTTATTTATTGACGCCGCATCATATATTATTATTATAGGAACTAACAATATTTGGTTTTATTTTTAAAAAAAATTCAATTTCACGACATATGGCTCATAACTGCTTTTATTTTCCCTAAAAACGAAATTATTTATTCCGATACATAATACGCACGATTGACCGAAAAAAAAACGAAATAAAATTCCCGATAATAATATTGTTTCAACTATATTATTATTACACAGGATTTGGCAGAAGTCAGGGCACGAAAGTAAGGTTAAAAAAAAACACGAAAAGTTATTCGAACTCAATGTTGTTTATATTTAATATATTCCATGGGGTATACAATTCATGTGTGATAAACTATTTCTGGCATATGACGACCTTCGTTGGAGATCAAGGCGCAAACAAAAACTTTGCATACTTAGCTCACCTCGTCATTTCTCGTGGAATTGCTGCGATTTCTTCAATAATTGTGACTTTAAGTTCTTTTAAGTTTTTAAAACGGTGTTTGTAGACCTCGGCATTTAAGTAGCTCCACAGGAAAAGATCGCAGGGGGCCCGATCGGGGGACCTTAGGGGTCAATTGATATCCTCTCTGCATGAGATAACATGAGTCAAGAAGAGCTCGCCAATGCCATTGATCAAGTGGCTATGTGAGCAGTGGAGCTGTTCTCTTGGAAACAAACCTCATCTAAGCCTTCCTCGTCAAGTTTCTCGTTTGATTTCTACGAGTCTGGGTTAAAAATATCCCTCAACATACCCACATATTGGTCATAAGTGACTGTTACTGTTTGTTTGGCTCTCTTCAAAAAAATAAGGGCCAATGACCCTAAAACGGCAAAATGCGCACCATAAAGTGACCTCTAAACTGTGTAGAGGATTTTTATAGATCACGTAGTGGTATTTAGGTGCCCAGTATCGCATGTTTAGCTTGTTC